TAATGGCTTGAGAAAGCACCTGCATGGCAGTGCAGGGGATCAGCCCAGCCCCAGATATTGCGGTCATTTGAGGAATGAACCAGCAGGTGGAAGGCTTCTGTCTGTAACTCTGCCTCTCAAATAAATAAATCTTTTAACAAAACAAAAACTAAAGCATTAACTCTTGCTGAGTTTATAACCTGCTGGTCTGCACCATACATTTCAAACTTCAAGTATGAGCTAATTCCTTAAGATAATTTTTTTAAGATTCATTTTACTTATTTGAAACAGTTACAGAGAAAGGTAGAGCCAGAGAGAGAGAGAGAGAGGTGTCTTCCATCTGCCCATCTGCTGCTTCACTCCTCAAATGACCGCAATGGCCAAAGTTGAGCTGATCTGAAGTCAGGAGCCAGGAACTTCTTCCAGGCCTCCCATGTGGGTGCAGGGTTCCAAGGACCTGGGCCTTCTTCTACTGCTTTCCCAGGCCATAGCAGAGAGTAATGTTGGAAGTGGAGTAGACAGGACTCAAACTGGCACCCATATGGGATGCTGGTGCTGCAGGCCAAGGATTTAACCCTCTGCACCACAGTTCCAGACCCAGATAATCTCTTAATATATACAAATATATCTTATTTTTTCTGTCTCTCTGGAGAACTCTCATTGATAAAGATAATTCATAAGTGTACATGCACATGTTTATCAAAAGGTATTAAATTACACGTGCAATTTACTACATGTCAATTGTAGATCAATAAAACAGTAAAAAAAGTCACCGACAATCTTTAAGGGCTTTCATTTATGTTCGTTATCTCTAACAATATCTACTGAATTAGAAATCAGCAGAGAAATTTTTTAAATATTTACTATATAAATTATTGAAAGATTTATACAAGATTTTTAAACAGTTCATGATAAATGTCTATAATGAAAAATTCATATAGAGATTTCAAAATTTTTTGCTCTAAAATAAATTTGTCTTAATTCTATTTCCTTGAGCTTTCAGAAGTATCCTTGTATATACTGGTATATATTGATATGCATTTTTAATTTTTAAAAGAACTACATTTTCTAAAATGAAAAAAATGAGAAGAGTCCTATTTTCTTATAATTTTATAAATAATTTTAATGTCTGGCTTAAAAGAAGAAAACTAGAGTCTCATATCTGCTTCAGCATTCAATTTGCTGCAATATGTTGTTTTGGCTGAAATATAAAGAAAATTTGGTCTCAGATACAAAGTTGGGAAAGGGAAGAATATTTTAATAGCCCTTTCAGCCTTTTTTTCTTTGATAACATACCAAAACTTGACAACTGCTTTTTAAAGCTTGTGCATTTATTTTTATTTACTTGAAAGCTATAGTGACAGACATGGCTACAGAGAGAGATACCTTCTATCCACTGGTTCATTCTCTAAGTTCCTGCTGGGACTGAGCCAAGAGGAAAGCCAGGGACTCCATCCAGGTCTCCCATGTAGGTGGCAGTGACCTAAGTACTTGAGCCACCATCTGATGCCTCCCAGGGTGCACATTAGAAGGAAGCTGTCTTGGAAGTAGAGGTGGGACTGGGTCCTTGGCACTCTGATATACGATGTAGTGATTTAACTGGCTGTGCCACAACCCCCACCCTAAGTGATGGTTTTTTGTAATGTGCAATCTGAAACCAATTAAACTTTCAGACACTGTTTCATTAAAATCCATTGATCTGGGATGGGCATTTGGTCGAGCAGCTAAAACAACTACATCTCATATTGGAGTACTTGAGTTTGAAGTCCACCTATTTTTTTTTCTCTTCAATGATTTTTATTTTTTAGATTTATTTATTTATTTGAAAGTCAGAGTTATACAGGGAAGGAGGGGCAGAGAGTGAGAGGTCTTCCACCTGCTGGTTCACTCCCCAACTGGCCACAATGGCTGAACCTGCACCAATCTGAAGCCAGGAGCCAGGAGCCTCCTCTGGGTCTTCCTACATGGGTGCAGGGGCCCAAGGACATGACCCATCCTCCACTGCTTTCCCAGGCCATAGCAGAGAGCTGGATGGGAAGTGGAGTAGCAGAGACTCAAACCAGCACCCATATGGGATACTGGCACTGCAGGCGGCAGTTTTACCTGCTAAGCCACAGCACCAGCCCCTGAAGTCCACCTCTGATTCCTAATTAATTTCATGTTAAGGCAGAGCTTCACAGGCAGCAGTGGTGACCCCAGTGATTCAGTTCCTGCCACTCATGTGGGAGATGCAGATTTAATTTTCAGCTCCTAGCTTTAGACCGTGCTGAGCCCCTGGCCATGGTGGGCATTTGGGGAGTGACTCAGCAGATGGGAGCTCTCACTCTATAGATATCTATCTCTATCTATCTATACCTCTACCTCTCAAATAAATAAATATTTTAAAAATCCATTGTATGGGGCCGGCACTGTGACACAGGAGGCTAAGCCTTTGCCTGCAGCATCGGCATCCCACAGGGGCACTTGTTTGTGTCCCAACTGCTCCTCTTCCTATCCAGCCCTCTGCAATGGCCAGGAAAAGCAGTAGAAGATGGCCCAAGTGCTTGGGTGCCTGCACCGGCGTAGGTGACCCAGAAGAAGCTCTTGACTTCTGGCTTCAGATTGGCCCAGCTCCAGCCATTGTGGCCATCTGGGGAATGAACCAGTAGACAGAAGACTTTTCTCTCTGTCTCTCCCTCCCTCTGTCTGTAACTCTGCTAATCACATGAATAAATAAAATCTTAAAAAAACAAATCCATTATATTACCTTGAATTTTGAGTGGATCTTTTATCCACAAATTACTTTTTCATAACACATATTGGTCTTCAGAAAATATCAACTCACAGAACTATGCAGATCCCAAATATAGACATAGTTCATTGTATAAGATTAAAAATAATACTGGCTAAAATCATAAATCTAATCAGAAAAATATTTACATATTGGAATATTTCAAGCTCATAGTAACAAAAATTTTTCAGAATTCTAATTTTTGCTCGAAAGCTCAAATTTTATCATTGCCAACACACACTGTCAGTTGTTTTCCTTGAAGCAACAGGCTCACTTCATTCATTTTCAAGGACATGCCTGCCAAATACCCGAGTCTGAATAACCATACTTTTTCTGTCAGTTTTCCTTTCAAAAATAAAAATGTTCCATATTTAAAAAGTGGCTAGTTCATCTGGCAAGTGTTTTTTTTCCCCAAGACAACCATCATACTTCAATATATAGCAGGAATGCTACATGGTACTTCATTTTGTCACACCATATTTAAAAGACACATATTAACAAGGTCAAAATTTACTAAAATTTGTCATTTAGCCTGCATCATCTAAAAAAACCTTCTGTGGCTGGTATTGTGGCACAGCAGGTAAAGCGGCCACCTGCGATGCCAGCATCCCATATGGCGGCAGGTTCAAGCCCCAGCTGCTCCATTTCTAATCCAGCTCCCTGCTAATGCGCCTGGGAAAGCAGCAGCAGATGGTCCAAACATTTGGCCCCTTGCCACCCACATGGGAGACCTAGATGAAGCTCCTGGCTTTGGCCTGGTCCCACCCTGACAGTTGTGGCCATTTGGGGAGTGAACCAGTGCATGGAAGACCTCTCTCTGTCTCTTCCTCTCTGTAAATCTATATTTCACATAAATAAATACATTTTTAAAAATAAAACAAAAACAAGCCATAAGTGAAAATGGCATTTTCTCTTTTGTTACAAGCATGTAGCAGGAAAGATTGTGTTGACAATGGTACAGTCTGAAGCCACTGCCTTTTCTATGCCAAATCCCCAGCAGTTTTAGTCTACCATAGCTTTTGCATCACCAGTACAAATGCCAACCGAGTGAAAAGGATACTTACACACACAATTATTACAAAAACCATTGTGAACTCATAGATCTCTACAAGGGTCTCAGGGACCCCCCCAGACTAAACCCTGACAACCAAAGTACTAAATAAATACTCTAAAATGAAGGGACAACAGGAACATTAATGACTGCTCAATTTAAAATGGAACAAACTTGATGCAGAATTATCTCAAAGCTGCATTTCCACAGCAAGTTTATTGGTACTTACAGATGTATGTCCATTAGAAGGGAAAAATTTATGTCACCTAGCAATAATCAGTGAAATTTTACGTATTTTTCTGATTGCAGGAATAACTAAAATTATTTCTAACTTATCATGGACATTCTGCATTATCAACTGGCTTCATAATCAAATTTATAAACTTATTCCTAAAAACTAAATGTAGGGGCGGGTTTTGAGGTGGTAGTTAAGACGCTGCTTGGGATGCCTGCAACACATATCAGAATTCCTGGATTTGGATCCCAGCTCCACTTCCAATTCCAGTTTCTTGCTAATGCAGACTTGGGAGGCAGCAGGGAATGGCTCAAATACTTGAGTTCCTGAGACCCATGCTGGAGATCCAGATGGAGTTCTGGACTCCTGGCTTCATAGTGGCCCAACCCAAGCTGTTGCAAGCAATTAAGGAGTAAACCAGTGTTTTGGAAGACTCTCCTACTCTTCTTTTCAAATAAAATGAAAATAATTCTTAATTATAAATAAATGTGGTATTTAACATTTTTTTTGATGTAAAACTCAGCAGAATTAGTTGCTAAGCTTTGTAATGGCTGTCAGTTTAAACACTGCTAAATACTGAAGGACAGTCATTAGATTTATAATATAAAAAAATTTAAATCCAGTGAAGTTTACTATACACATTGGGTCAAATACTTATAATTCGTGAACCTTCTGATTTTAACATTGAGATCTTTGAAAGATACTCTGGAGAATATACAGATGCTCAAAATGCAATACTCAGTAACAATTCTTTTCAATAAACATTGTCCTCTGATGGAATCAAGGAGCCTGTCAATTTAGGGACTGTTTAAAAGAAAGCAGGATAGTTATGAAATCAACCATTTTTAAAGTTATACTTAAAGTCTAGTTACACAGTAATGTATCCAAGAAATCATATCATAAAATTACATTTCAAGACATACTATTTAAATTTTGTAAAACAAAAGTGACAAAGATCAACTTACTCGATCTGCTAATCCTCCAGGAACTATAGTCCTCACAACCACGCCACTTGATTTTCCTCCAACTATTCCAAAACCTAACCCAGAGCCATCATTAATGAGTTCAACATCTTCAATGTGGCCCCAACAAACCTAGAAATTAATGGTAAAAGTCACAGTGTCATTGAAACACACAGATTCTCAGCTTTCAAAAACAATAATTACTAAAAAAAACAGATGTATAACAAATTGAACATTCATATAGTTAAACAAGGCAAATTTCTAAAGAACAAGATATGTATATATAAATGATCATAAGGTTGCCCTTAAGGATCTTATCATCCAGTGGAGAGAAACTAAATACAAGGTAGAATATCAGAAAAATGCCGCTGCTCTAAGAAGACAAGCAGCAGGTTTTATTTCCATGTTTATGCTTGAAACCTAGCACAAGGCAAGGTATATGGTAGGAATCAAAAAATATGTATTTGCTTGAATTCAAGAATCACAGAATGTCATAAAGAGTTCAGGGATGAGTACAAGACATTATATCCCAAAAAGACTCACAGAAATTTTCAAGGAAAAGAGACATTTAAGTTGCGCTGCTCAAAAAACAGACATTCAAGCAAAAGGGAAATATCAGAGAAAAGCTGAGCCAGATAAGAGAATGCATCTAAGATATGGTCAAGAGATTAGATTTAAATGGGTAAGCAGGTGTGAATAATGGCAGATTTTAGAGAGGGAATGACAGGAACAAAGCAGTAGTTTAAGAAAATTAATCTAATAGCTATATAAAAATGAGGGGCCAGCGCTGTAGCATAGCGGGTAAAGCTGCCACCTGCAGTGCCAGTATCCCATAAGGGTGGCAGTTCAAGTCCCGGCTGCTCCACTTCTGATCCAGCTCTCTGCTGTGGCCTGGGAAAGCAGTAGAATATGGATCATACCCCCATGTGGGAGATCCAGAAAAGGCTCCTGGCTTCAGATCAGTGCAGCTCTGGCCGTTGCAGCCAGTTGGGGAGTGAACCAATGGATGGAAGACCTCTCTCTCTCTCTCTCTCTCTCTCTCTCTCTGCCTCTGCCTCTGCCTCTGCCTCTCCTCTCTCTGTGTAACTCTTTCAAGTAAATAAATAAATCTTTTTTTTTTTTAATGAAATGGTAAGAAAAACACAGGTAAGGGCTAATTCAGGAAACTCTTATGAGAGAAAAAAGGTAGCCCAACTGACAATATCAGCAATAGGATTATACAAATCTAAAGGACACAGTGTTTTAACTAATAGGCTTTCTGTGAGAAATATGCATTAAATTCACAGCATCCAACTGCAGAACAATGTCTGCCTAGTCAAGATCATTAAAGCATATTCATTATTTAGTTTTTCTATTATACTAAATGGTAAAATTTCTATGCACTTTTAAAATAAATGAGAATATTGGAACTATTAATAAATTCATATTTAGAACAACACCTACTATCTGTGAAACAATGTCGGCTAAAATAGTATGTGTGAATTGACCTAGGCTGTTAATATTCACAAAGTGTTGACTTGCATCAGGTACTATGCTGAGCTCTTCACAACCCTTCTCATCTAGTCCTGACATCTACTCTGAGAATCAAATAGAACTATTAGTTACAAAGAACAGATGAAGAAGCCGAAGTGTGAAGATGTCAAAGAACCTAGATACCCAATATGACACAGCCAGGATGTAGAAGACATGGCCTTGAACTGACCAAAGCCAGACTCCAAAGCCCTTGATTTTTACATGTTAAACAATGTTCTACTTTGTTCACTGTATTTATTACGTAAATTGTGCTACATAAATATTACTGATTATAGCAGGGAAAATATCTATACATAATTCTGTATTGTTACCTTGTACTGTACCCAGTGTATTTTTCCTTTTATCCCAATGAAAGAAAGTTAAATAAATCAGGTAGCACTTAGTGTTATAAGAAAATAAGACTGATTAGCCAGCATTATGAAAATGCAGGCCAAAATCTGTAAAACGTTACAAAGCGAGTTTAAGTATTTCCAAAAGAGACATATACTTCTTTTAAATTGTTCAATATACATCCTTACATGAAAAAAAACCTGTGATAATTCTGTAGTATTAATAATCCAGTCATAAACCTCCATTGTAACTTACAAAAAATAATGTCATTGAAATAAACAACCAAATCTTATTTAAGACACTTAACAGTAAATCTCTAATAAAAACTAAATTAACTGGCTACATCAGCAAGGAACAGAAAATTCTTTCCAACACCAAATAAACTGCACTTAATATTTCACCTCTATATTAAATAATAGTCTTAAATGAGGAGACACTAATGAGATTCCCAGAGGAATCATCTTGTTTAAATATGCTGAAACTGGAACAGAGTTGTGGCACGGTGGGTTAAGCCACAGCTGCAACATTAGCATCTCAAATGGGTGCTAGTTTGACTCTTGGCTGCTTCACTTCCAATCTAGTTCCCTGCTAATGGCTGGGGAAACCAGTGGAAGATGGTCCAAGTGATTAGGCCCCTGCACCCATGTGGGAGGCATGGATAAAGGTCCTGGCTCCCGGCATTGGCCTTGCCCAACCCTGCCTGATGCAACCATTTGGGGAGTAAACCAGCAGGTTGATGGTCTCTCTCTCTCTCTCTCTCTGCCTCTCCTCCTCTCTTTGTAATCCTGCCTTTCAAATAAATAAATAAATAAAGAGGATCCAAGATGGCAGATTACAGAGGGAGCTTGCTGCTCTAGTCTAGGGGAAGACAGTTTAAAAAAATAAAAAGAAAACTGGAGAAAGTGCAATCTCAGGGAAGAGTTAGGGAGAAAACTGCAGTGGAAACTCCTTATGTGGATCTACATGGAGGGTGTGCATGCACAGCACAAACACAGACACAACGCAGGACCCCAGCAGCTGAGAGATCCTCAGCACCAGCTTTGGAGAGTGAGGTGAGATCAGACAGCAGTGGCCCACACCACTGGCAATAAAGCTGCAGGGAGAGGCTGGCAGGAGTCGGGCTTGGAGCCCTCTGGGGGACAGTGTACCTGCCAAAAACGAGTATCTTAACAAATGCCTAAAAATAAACACAGAAATTCAAAAAATAACTTAGACAACATGATGCTCTCAAAGGGACACAACAACACCTCAATACTAGAATGTGAAGATGAAGAGACTGAAGGAATGATGGAAACAGAATTCAAAAGATTGATCTTAAGATCATTCAGGAGTAATCAAAAGCAAATCCATGAATTAAAGAAATCCAAACATGACATGAATGAACATTATTCCGATGAAATTGAGATTTTAAAGAGAAATCGAAGTGAAATATTAGAAGTAAAGAATTTAACATAATAAACAATGTAGTGGAAAGTTTAACAATAGACTCAGTGAAGCAGAAGAACAAATATTCCGGGCTGGCATTGTGTCACAGTGGATTAATCCTGCCCCTGTGGTGCCAGCATCACATATGGGCGCCAGTTCTAGCCCTGGCTGCTCCTCTTCCAATCCAGCTCTCTGCTATGGTCTAGGAAAGCAGTGGAAAATGGCCCAAGTCCATGGGCCAATGTACCCACGTGGGAGACCTGGAGGAGGTTCCTGGCTCCTGCCTTTGGATCAGCTCAGCTCCAGTTGGCTGTTGCGGTCATCTGAGGAGTGAACCAGTGGATGGAAGACCTTTCTATCTCTACATTTCCGTATCTGTAGCTCTACCTCTCAAATAAAGAAGTCAAATATTAAAAAAAAAGAATATTCAAGTCAGAAGAAAAATCTGAAAATTTTAGTCAGACCAAAAAAAAAAAAAGAAATTAGAAAAATTCAAAACAGTGTTGAAGATTTATGGGATACAATCAAAAACCAACTATACAGGTCTTATGAGTTGCTGAAGACATGGAAAGAGAGAATGGATTAGAAGGCCTTTTTAGTGAAATAATTACAGAAGACTTCCCCAATTTGGAGAAAGAAAGAGACATCCAATTACAGGAAGCACACAGAACTAACAAACATGACCAGAAAAGATCTTCACCACAACACATTGTAGTCAAACTCTCCACAGTAAAACATAAAGAAAAGATTCTAAATTGTACAGAAAAGAAATGCCAGATTACTTTCAGAGGATCTCTAACTGGACTCACAGTTGACTTCTCATCAGAAAAGCTACAGGCTAGAAGAGAATCATGAGATACAGTCCAAGTCTTAAGAGAAAAAACTGTCAACCCAGAATACAGTGCCCAGAAAAGTTCTCATTTATGAATCATCAGGAATTACTATAAAGAGCTGTATGTCAACAAACCAGGAAACCTAGAGCAAATGAAGAGATTTCTGGACACATACAACCTACCAAAATTGAGCCATGAAGACACAGAAAACCTAAACAAACCAATAACCAAGATGGAGACTGAATCAAAAATAAAGACACCTCTCACAAAGAAAAGCCCAGAAACAGATGGCTTCACTGCTGAATTCTACTAGACATTTAAAGAATAACTAATGGAGTCAGTACTGTGGGGGCTAAGCCTCCACCTGTGGCACCAGCATCCTATATGGGTGCCAGTTTTAGTCCCTGATGTTCCAGCTTTCTGCTATGGCCTGAGTAAGCAGTGGAAGATTCTCCAAGTTCTTGCACCCCTACACCCACGTGGGATACCCAGAAGAAGCTCCTGGCTCCTGGCTGTGGATCAGCCAAGCTCTGGCCATTGTGGTCAATTGGGAGTGAACCAGCAGATGAAGACCTTTTTCTCTGTTTCTTCCTCTCTCTGTAACTCTGCCTCTCAAATAAATGAATAAAATCTTTAAAAATTTTTTAAAGAACTAACTCCAATTCCTCTCATGCTATTCAAAATAATTCAAAGGGAGGGACGCCTCACAAACTCCTTTTATGAAGTCAGCATTACCTAAATTCCTAAACCTGAGAAAGATACAAGGAAAGAGAAGTACAGACCAATTTCTCTGATGAACATAGACACAAAAACCCTCAACAAAATACTAGGCAATCGGGTATGGAAGGAACATTCCGCAATACAATCAAAGCAATTTATGAAAAACCCACGGCCCACATCCTATTGAATGGGGAAAAGTTGGAAGCATTTCCACTGAGATCTGGGACCAGACAGGGATGCCCACTCTCACCACTGCTATTCAATATAGTTCTGGAAGTTTTAGCCAGAGCT